TTTGTTATGCACACACTCAGGCATACACCTACTCAAGTTTATTTGAAAGGAATGTGAATAGGAAAGGAAAGGATAAATTAGCAAGCAGTGAATAAGCTTAAAAAAAAAAAAAAGTTGGAGTTCAAAGAGCCATATGCGATATTATGGAGTTCACACGCCATTTTATTCAAATTTCAATGTCTCAGTTAATTTATCTATTTTATGAAGGGAAATACATCATCATCATCTCTTCATCCATGTCATTGCCACAACTTCATTATTATGATCTGCTACGTCATTGCAATTGGCTTGGCAATTTGTAAAGGAGTGTAGGTTCGAACCCGAGACTTTTTGCACCCGTGCTGAAATCTTTGTCAATTGAGTTGAAAAGCGCCTGTGAAATTTTTATGCACAATTAAAAATATATATTTCAAATAACAAATATACATATACATATATAAAATAAATATTATATACATAATTTAATATATATTATATAATTTAATATATTATTAGTTATTTGAATTTAATTTTATATTTTAGTAAAAAAAATTTCTAATAATTTATATTAGCATTCAAATATTTAACAAAATGTTAAGTACATTATATATTTTTATTTTATTTTATTTTATAATATTTTTATTTTAAAATTTTTATATAATATATTATTTAAAAGTTATGATATATTATATTTTAATTTAGTAATAAGTTTAAAAAATAATTATTATACATTTATATTATATTTTTTTATGACAGATTAGTGATGGAATTGCGACAGAAATTAGTAACATAAAAATTCCGTCATTAATTCCGTCATAAAATGTTTTGTGATGAGAGTTAGTGACAGAAATTAGTGACAGAATTTTTTCTTCACTGATCCTTTAAAACATAATTTGCAACGAATGTATGACAGAATTTAGTGATAAAATAAAATTCTGTGACTAATTCGTTGCTAATTTAATGATAAGTAATTTTAGTAACAGAATTTGTGACAGATTAGTGACAAGAATAAAATTCTATCGCTAAATTCCTTCATAATCCCCTTTTTTTTTTTTTGTAGTGTTTGGTGAATCATTAGTGAGTAAAAAGATTGAAATTGATATTTGGAAGAAAACTTAAGAAACATTATGGACGGGACTTTAATATGTCACATATTCTTCTTTTGTATATATAATTTTTTAATCACTTTCTTTTTTTATCAGAAAAAAAGTGAAGTAAAAGTAAAACACAATGACTTCCTTCTCTTTTACTAAAAAGTGAATATTGCCATGAAATCCCAAGTAAACTAAACAATTCCAGTGACAACAGAACAATATGCAATAGCAAATTTTAACTAGTAAATGACAACTGTTTACTTGTTATTAAAAGTTATTAATAAATTTGTTTTTAAAACCTCATTGTAATTCTCTCTTTACTAAAGGCCTTCTCCATTTTCAAAACAAATGCTATGTTCCATATGCAAATTTTTTTTCCCAAAAAGAAGACGCAAACTTAAATTTTAGACGACATTTAAAAATTTGCAAAATTTTTTTCCACGTCTTAGCTCCAAAACTCTCTACATAAAACAGACTTATGATGCAAAAATGAATATTTATTCCAATATAGTATATATAATTGAACTCAAGATATATATATATATATATATATCATTGAACTCAATATATAAAGAATACGGTTTCTCATTTCAAACCTTAAATAAAAAAATATTTTATTTATGTGTGAATTATTTGCAAACATTCTCGTTTGAAATTAAAAACAACCCCAAAACGATAGTTTCAAAATTTATATGATTGTGTGCAGTTTCTCTGTAACACCACAAGTGATTAATGTTATTATAATATGAACTGAACAGAAAATAAAGGTCTAAATGATAATTTGTAGGATATTTTTCTTATTTCAAAAGCTTAAAGTTGTATTCCTAGAAAACCTCTAATTGAGTGAAAAAAATCCTTTAATTTATTGTTTAAGCGACTTTTATGTTTTTGAAGCATTTCAAACGATTTGGCTATGGAAATTGAATAAGAATAGAAAATGATATGAAAATAAATGTATTAATATTCCAGTTTTCCTGGAAAAGATGGGAAAACTTGGAAGTATTAGAAGACTTGATCATGTGATAAATTTTTTTGGCCATTTAAATGTTTGTGTATTTTTTCCAATATTTTCTAATAAACACTTTATTTGTAATGATTTTCATTTTTCGCAACTTACGTACATCGTGACCATGCATGTAATCTAAATAAATCATGATGACGGTTTCATTTTGAAAATTTCATTTGTTTTGTTTATTTGAACATTTAATATAATTTAAATTTGAGAGGTATATAATTTTGTGGTGTGTTTGGACTAAAGATAATGAATGAATGTTTTCTTCAATTTTTTTTTTTGGGCCAAACCTATATTATGTGTACATATATAATTTATTCGAAATAGAGTTAAAAAACAACATAAATGATTAAATTTATACATCAGTTAAATATTTCGTATTTAATTTTGTTTATATATATATATATTTATATGTATCCACTCACGTGTATTCGGACAGCATGTGTATAGGGAAGCAAAGGAGAAATAACTAGCAATAAATAAGCTAAAAAAAAAAAAGAAACAGGACAATACTTACATCAAGTTATTTATATTCATCATGTTAACCACCCAAATCATACATAGTGATGTGTCTTATTTTTAAAATATTAGTATTTAATTATAAAATTCACATGAAATAAAAATAGACACATGCTTTCGAGAACTTTATATAATGGATATAAGCAACTTGACCTAAGTTTTTCACAAATAGGACAAACTATGGAGTTCAAAGAGCCATATGTAATTAATTTTATGGATTTCACATGGAATTTTTGTGATTTTTTTTGGCTTATATTAAATTTGATTTTAAAAAAAAGATATATAGGGTTTTATCATTTTCGGGTCATACTAAAATTTTGTCCAATTTCTTATGCGTAAAAATCAAACTTCAGAGTACAAATATTTATTCAAATTTCAATGATCTGAATTAAGTTATTCATTTCAGGACTAAAATAAATAAATAAATAAAATTAATTTACTTTGACTTCAATACGTGGGTGAGTTTGTCTGAGTATAATCATTCAATAATTAACAATGATATAAAATAAATGATAATAGTTATTTTATTTATAAGTCATAATATAGGGTTTGGTTTGTTTACGAAAACATTTTTACAATAAAAAATCATTGAGCTCTTGGCCCTCAATATTTTTATACGTAATTGCCCCCAATTTTTCCCTAAAACCTACCAAATTTAAAAGGATCTAAGCATATAACAGATTATATCTGTGGTATTTTCTCATTGACAATGTTAAAAGAAAAGATGTAGTTAAAAATATCCACTAATTCCACTTGGTTTTGGAAATTTAAAAAAAAAAGAATACAAGGCAGGCAACATGTTGTGGAGAAATTGGATTCATGACACGATTTCTATTGAAAAAATCACGTGTTGTGCCCCCACCCTCCCCGGGGGGGCGAAACACGTGGGACGGAGGAGGGAGCCTGTGGGAAAGGGAGGAGCAAAGACAAACGGCGGCTAAGCCGATTAGTGTCCCTTTCCCACTTGCAATAAATACGCCACCCATGGCACAATAAGACGGGAAGACTTGGAAATATTATTAGTAGACTTGACAATAAGAAAGCAAATTACACGCCGTTGGAAAACATTTGAAAATTAAAACGAAGGACATATGGAACGTAGTATTTATTTTTATAAAAAAGAATATATTATTACTTGAGAAATTTGTCCGAGTAAAGAAATTTCCATATAAATCAAACTTATGATGCTTGACCGAAAAAAAAACTTATGATGCAAAAATAATGGATATTTATTCCAAGATTATATATAATTAATTAATTTGTTCATTTCATAGCTAAAATAAAAAATAATACTGATTATTTTTCTTTCAATAAATAAATATTTGACTTAGTTTGAATAATTTGCAAATATTCTCGTTTTGAAATGAAAAAACATGCCCCCAAACTATTGATGAATTTCAAGATATATATTATTGTGTGCAGTATCTCTGCGACACCTTGTCGTTGATATTGTTAATAATAATATGAACTGAACACAAAAGGTCTGATTAACAATTTATAGGATGTATTTTTTTTATTTTTTTAAAAGCTAAAAGTTGTATTCGCATATCGCCTCTAAGTGAATGGTCTATTTATATTATATGTCATGGAAAAAAAATCTTTAATTTATCGTTTAAGAAACTTTTACTTTAGTTGTGAAAAATGAATTTATTAATGTTTCAACTTTTCTTTGAAAAGATGCAAAGACTTGGAAGTATAAGAAGACCTGATTATAAAAAAGATGTGGTTACAGAATTTTTTTGGGGCATTTAAATATTTGATTACTTTGATTTTCCAATTTTTTTAAGCTGCAATTTGTTTGCAATAATTTTGGCAACTTATAAACATCCTGTCCTTATATAAAGGCTTAATTGAGTTCATTCCACTCAAGCAAATCCCGATGACAGTTTCGTTTTTCAACTTTCATTTGTTTTGTTATTCCAATCTATAATATGACTTGAATTAGAGAGGTATGACTTTAATTTGTGGTGTGTTTGGAGCAAAATTTTGTCCAATTTCTTATACAAAAAAAAATCAAACTACTGCGCATATATAGTTATTCAAATTTCAATGATCTCAATTAATTTATTCATTTCTCGAGTAAAACGAAAATAAATACGATTATTTCACTTTCATTTCAATATGTGTCCGTATATATGCTCCTTTCAGTAATTAATAAAAGTATAAAATATAATAATTAAGATCCATGCCATTCATGGAGCCCATGGAGGATTTGTTTTGTGCGAGCATTTTTAAAATAACAAAAAAAAATCACTAAGCTTTGGGACTTGACAATGAAAATCACGCGGTTTTAAATTTTTAAGCATTTAAATTTTGTTCATTACTTCAGATTTTCCAGTATATATAGATATATCATACATAGGCTTCATTAGGCCATTATACTCAAACTTACCACAATGGCAAGTTTGGCTTCACAAATTTCTTTTCTTTTGCTGTTTCTGCTATTTGCAACAACATTCAACAAAAGTGTGGGAACCTCAAACAGGTTGATGCGTTGCAATGAAAATGATCAAAGGCTGCTTTTGATCTTCAAACAAGGAGTGGTTGATCCAAGAAACCAACTCTCTTCTTGGCTGATGAAGAAGATTGCTGTCTGTGGGAGGGAGTTCACTGCGACAACATTACTGGAAGAGTCACAGAGCTTTTTCTTTTCAATCACACATTAAAAGGTGACATTAATTTGTGTGTGCTTCAACTTGAATTTCTCAACCAATTAGAATTGAGCTTCAATATGTTTGAAACTGTGAGTATGCCACCATGCCAAATCTCCAAATCTCCTTTTGAAGCTCACAAATTTCCCGATCGATCACTTGCTACTCCTTTCAATCAGTCAGCAAGTTTCTCTGTTGCTCTGTGTTATCTTAATTTTTCATATAATTGTGATTTACTCATAAAAGACCTTTATTGGCTTTCCCAACTTGCTTCCTTACAATATCTTGACCTTAGTTGCTGTGATATTGGAAATGATACCAGATGGCTCCACCATATAGCCATGCTTCCTTCACTCTCTGAGTTACACTTGAGAGAGTGTAGACTCAGAGATTTTCCATCCCTTGATTATATCAATTTTACTTCACTTGAAGTTCTTGATCTTTCTACCAATTATAATATGATGAATTCAAAATTGCCTGATTCATTCTTTAATATCACCAATCACATCTATCATCTTGCCCTTCGTGATTGCAATTTCCATGGCCAATTACCAAAGGCCTTGCTCAATCTTCGAAACCTCAAGCATTTAGATTTGGGTGGTAATATTCTCAAAGGATCAATTCAAGACTGGTTAGGCCAATATGAACGGTTACAATACTTGGATATAAGTGATAATTTGTTTTACGGTGTAATTCCATCATCTCTTGGAAATATTTCTTCCTTGTTCAACTTAGACTTGTCCAACAATCAGTTCAGTGGTAATCTTCCAGAAACCCTTGGACAACTCCATAACTTAAATTATTTAGGCATTGGTGGCAATTCATGGGTGGGTGTTCTTTCTGAAAAGAATTTTTCGAATTTCTCAAATTTAACATCATTGGATTTAAGTTCAACAAGTTTTGAACTTGACATTGATACCAAATGGGTCCCACCATTTCAACTTGAGAGGTTGCGTTTGAGGAACACAAGCATAGGTCCTAATGTTCCAGCATGGCTATACACACAACGGTCTTTAAGACATCTAGATATTTCTAGATCAGGGATTTCAACAACTGATGCAGATATATTTTGGAGCTTTGTAGTAGGAATAGAAGGTGTTGATATCTCAAACAATTTGATTAGTGATGACATATCCAATGTCACATTATCAGCAAATACCTCTTACTTTTATGCGTCTCACAACTCTTTAAGAGGATCTCTTTTCTCGTTTTTGTGCCAACTAGAGAGTAACGGGGAAAGCAAATTGCTTGAATTGAACTTGCAATATAATCATTTGAGTGGAATACTTCCTGATTGTTGGGCCAATCAGAAACAATTAAGATACCTCAGTTTGGGGAGTAATAAGCTAACAGGTAGATTCCTCCCTCATTTGCTTCTTTGAATCTTCACGGGTTGGATTTGAGTGATAATAATTTCTTTGGCGAATTTTCATTAGGCATGCTAAATTGGACATATTTGGATCACCTCATTTTAGAGCAAAATAAATTTTCTGGAAGTTTGCCAAATCCCGTGGTGCAACATTTGTCGGTTATTATGTTGAGGGCCAATCAATTTATGGGTAATATTCCATTACAATTCTGCAACATTTCTCATTTGACAATACTTGATTTGGCTGAAAATAAGCTTTCTGGATACATACCTTATTGCCTATACAATATCATGCCTCCAGATTCTATGGTACTATGGGATAATGATGAAATAATAAAAATATTTACGAAAGGAAGAGAATTAGACTACCAACTTGAACGTGTTGCATATCGTACAAGTAGCATTATTGATCTTTCTGCTAATAGCTTGTGTGGAGAAATTCCTAAAGAATTGTTTAGCAACAGTCAAATGCAGTCCTTGAACTTGTCTCGAAACCATTTGACTGGAAAAATTCCCAAAGAAATTGGAGGCCTGAGATTGGAATCTCTTGATCTTAGCTACAATAAACTTTTTGGAGAAATTCCTTCAACAATCTCCAATTTGTCTTCTCTTGCTTGGCTCAACCTCTCATACAATAATTTCATGGGACGAATTCCAATGGGAACTCAAATTCAAAGTTTTGACTCTTGGAGTTTTGTTGGAAATCCTAAACTATGCGGAGATCCTCTTCCAAAGAAGTGCAACAAAAAAGAAGGAACTCATGACTCAAAGCTAGCTAAAGGAGATGAAGATGATGGCTTTCTAAAGTCACTCTATCTTGGTATGGGGGTTGGATTTGCAGTGGGCTTCTCGGGAGTTTGTGGTTCACTCTTTCTCATCAGAGCATGGAGACACAAATTTTTCCGATGGTTTGATCACTTGAACGATCAACTTTATGTTGCTTTCACCCTCTGGTTCAAAAGATTCGGTTGAATATCAAAAACAGATCTCCCTTGAGGTAATAAATTAGCCATGCCTGAATTTTTCAAGTGTTGTTAGTATTTTCCCTTTTCCTTTTATTTTCTTCTATTTCATGAAAAAATTCTGTTCTTAGCTGATTATGTTTTATCTTGTTTATTTTTCAATATGGGATGCATCAAGTGAAATAGCATCTATCACTACTCTGATCGTTCCTCTGATTCAAATACTGAGTTCTGCTTCAAGGAATAAGGAGCTTTGCTGCTGTTTCGCTTGGTCAAGGACTCTAACAATGTCGCCTACTGAATGTCCTTTAATTTAGCGAAGTGTGACAAGAGAACATATTGCAATAATAGTTATTTGTGCGTCTGTGTATCTCCTGTTGTGAAGGAACCTTTGATGAATAGTTTAGAATGTGATATGTGATTGTACTCCAAAGTTTGATTATGAGTTTGAACCAAATAAAAAGATATTCTGCGTCTTTATTTAAGATTTCAGGTGTAAGTGTAACAATCAAAACGAAAAGGCATGTCAGTGTTGTAATCTGTAAGATAAGATTTATATGAGCGTTAACATGTGGGATATTAATTTGTAACTTGCAACAGTGAGTAGCTATTAATTTGTGGAAGATAAGAGGATCTTATAACATTCTGTTTTGAAGCTTCAGATGCTCTGTTCCATTTTGGTATATACGAGTAGCTCGAAAGAATCGTTCCTTTTTCTGACTAGATGTTCAAATAGCCTCTCAGTTACTTCTTTTTTTAAAGTTGGGTCAGATAATCAGGTGCAGAGCAACACGAGTATGTTTCTAATACCAGCTTGAAATCTGCTCATTTCAAGTACTCCCTCACATATTTTCTACAAAGTCATGTTAACTACTTTTCTAAGATGTTGAAATTAATTATAAATATTTCATTAAATCTAACTAAGGATTAGTGAGTTTTGACCCCAAAAAAAAAAAAATTAAGGATTAGTGAGTAGAGTGTTATGATACGTACTGGACCCAGTATTATTAGTGATACAAATAAAAGTCAGTTATTCTTTTTTCCCGCTACACATATAAGGTAATCTTATTCAAGACACTGTCAAGAACTAAATATAGACATTTCTTTTAGTGAAGATTCAAACTTTAGTTCACCATGTCGTGAGGGATTAGCCAATTCTAGTAAACTCGACTCTTATTGATAAAGTCGGTCAATTTTGTGTGACTGCATATACTAATTTAATTTGTTTTCTGTGAATAAAATGGTCACCTTTTCTTCACCCAATAAACAATCCACCATGACGTCAGATTATTAGTTGAAAAGATGGCTTCAATATTTAGACAATTATATATATATATATATAAAAGTATAAAGAGGAGATGATATAGATGGGAAATTTTGATGTTAAATTGTATAACTAAAGGGATAGAATGAAAATTAATAAAAAAGTTGTTCCTGGTGCTCCTAATAAATCTTGTCAAGTTGAAAAGGAGGGACCCGAAAAGGATTTTACATCAAATCCCAAAGTTGAACTATACAGCATGCGATGTATTTTTGTTCCCCGTATTATAAGTCGGTCCTCCGCTATGTTCAGGAAAAAAATACAATGTAAAAAGAAAAGCATGAAAATATAAATTTTAGTATTACTCCAATCTTTTAATTCTTAAAATAATTAGAGAGGGAACTTTTTTTTTTTGGGGGGTGGGGAATAGAAGTAAATTACACGCTGAGGGGAAAAATTCATGTTATTGGGATAGTATAGTTAGTTGACGACTTTCTTAATTAATTATTAATATTAATGAATAAAACATCATATTGTTTGGTCATTGCGTGTTCCCCCTACGCACTATGGGGAGGTTGATTAACTTTTAAGACCTTCCTCGCAATTTTTAACATTAACTTTAGTTTAGCTCCGGTCTCTTAAAAAAAGTCATTAATGCTAAAAATTATAGCGCTGAAAAAATCCTAAAACTTAATTAACCTCACCATATGATGGGTTGGGGAAACATGAAATGGCCATCGTTCATGAACTGTTGCTGCTACTAATAATAATAATAATAATAATAATAATAAATCAGTAATCAAGAATGTTCAGCAAGCAAGCTAAGGAAATCATCAAAAACAAATTAAAGTGAATGTTTTTAATCTTTGAAGATTCTTGAAAACCATCACAATTTTTTTTTTAAAAAAAATAAACCAACCATAACTGTGGGCAGAGGTGAAAATAGGTTAGGTCACATCAGGTTTCAGTCTTAACAAGCTAGGCCTGTTTGATAATAAGCCATCCTGAGCCTAGATTGTGGCTTGTTATAGGCTTTTTTTGCAGCTTAATCCTAGCTTTTATAAAGGTCTGACCTAACCTGAAACCTGTTAAAAAAAGCCTACATATTTGTTTGAAAAATTATTTTTACAAGATTGCACTGTTTCATGACTGCAAATTAAATATTGTAATGCCTCATTTTGTATACAAATTAATAATAATACAAGAAGACGTACCAAGCAGAAATAAAAAATGAACAGGAAATTCATATTCTTATATTTCCTTGAACGAATTGAAAAATAATGATGGCCGAATAACACAGTCAAGACGAAGTTGAGTTTCACTGCAACACTAATAATATGAAAATACGAAACAAAAATAATACCCCTCCGATCCTAAATATTATGCTTATTTTGTAGTGTAAATTACATTACAAAATGAGTTTTATATTTAGAACTGAAGGGAGTAATAGAAAGACAAAAATCTAGAAACTAAATTGTTCACTATGAAAGAAAATAGGAAACAAAGGTGTTCAGAATTCACAGGTCACCTGACAAAATAAAGTCGACATCTGCAAGGCAAGTGGAGATGGTTACAATAGAGAAAAAAGAATGATATAAGTAATATGGGTAATTAAATGGGGTAAAATGAGAGAGAAAATGTGTAGGAATTAAATGCAATGATATAAGCTGACTCATTCATGAAAATTAGCAAATACCACCTCAAATAACCAGAAAACAGCACAAATCCAACTCTCGCACAGTGGGAAGAAATGTAAAAAGCAATGGCACCTTATAAGATTTAGGGTGGAAGAGCACCGTGATAAAAAAATAGAATAGATAATCTTCTACTCTGGGCTGTGAAGAAGAATGGAGGTTGACGAACGGTACGTGTTTAGGATTGAAGAGGTTTCAGGTTTTAGGTTGAAGAGCAGCGCAAAAGATAATACTTTCTTAGTTCCTTATTATAAGAAACAATTATAAAGTATGTCATGTTCCTTTTTATAAGAGATTCTTAGAGTTTATCTCAAATTTTGTTTGTTGACTGCCTATTTTAGCCCCATTTAATTACTTATATTACTTATATCATTGCATTTAATTTCCACACATTCTCTCCCCCACATATTATCTCTCTTTCACATAAATGAGGATATTCTTGGCAGAAAAAGTTACACTTTTTACATATTTATAGTTTTTAACTAATTTTAACTAGTATTTTGATTAACATAATTTGAATAATTGTCTCTTATAAAAAGAAATAGAGGGAGTAATGTGTAATACCCTATTTGGAAACTTGCCAAACTTAAGACAATATAGGGATGTCAACATCATTACCATAGTAATTAAAGAAAATGGTTTACAAACTTTATTTCTAATTTCCTTACATATTGTCACAGAACCATGATATAAAAGAATAAGACAAACAGTCAGCAGTACAATATAGCATGGTTATAAAAAAATTATACTTACTTACTATGCATAACCATGTTGGGGAAGGATTATACCCCTAACATGATTATACAAAGCCTTTCATATACTTGATTGACACAATTTGTCACAAATAATACTCCCTCCGTTCCTTATTATAAGAGACATTTGATGCTTATGGCATATTTCTATATATAAGAGACACTTGAAAGTTGTCTCTACTTTTTTGTGTTAATTTCCTATTTTATCCATATTTATTGTCTCCAACTCACACTCTCTCTCCATTCCCCTTCTCTTTCTTTTAATAATTTAATTGTTCTCTCTCATACTCTCTCTCCTTATTAATGAGGGCATTTTTGGAAAAGAAATTATATTTTTTACACATTGATTGTTCTTAACTAATTTTAACTGCTTTTTTGATCAACGTAATTCGGTTATTCGTCTCTTATAATAAGGAACAGAGGGAGTATAACAAAACAAAGTTTAATTTATTTCAAAGACGTCCTCATAAATGTATAATCATAAATATTTCAATGTGGAAAACATAAAAAGAGATGCGTAATGATATCCTAAGTGGCAAATAAGTAATGATAAACATAACCAGAATTTAGGGTGTGATCACCAATGAAGGTGACCTCATGCCTCTGGTTCTTTTCCTGCTACAGCTCCTCTATTACTCTTACCTGAAAATGGTAGATGTAATAGAATGAGACTACTGTTTCAGTAACAAAAATTCCTACCCACCTCACTTACTAGCACCCTTAAGAGGTGCCAAGTGGGACTAATAATTAGAATAATCATTAAACATGTTACTATTACATAACATATATCAGATATCACCAACATAAAAGCTAAGGGAAAATGTCAACATATATGCTTGCTTTACTCATCATTTATTCTCATTATTAATCATTTAATTCTTTCCTTATATCTTCCTTATACCTGCCGCTTGAACTCATAGGCTAAGTCTTAATCATATGAGTATGACTGGTGACTTTCATGAGCTTCCTACACATGTGATGCGGACCGGCCAAAGTCGGCAAAGTACACACGGGCCATGGGTTCCTCCAGAAAAAAGGGGATTCTGCCCCAATGGGTTTACTGCCCAATATCCTAATGGGGATGTTGCCTTTGGGTGATACTATCCCGGGATATTCCTGGAGTGTCACAAATGAGGGGATGCTGCCCTCTTTAATAGGCCAACCATAGTGCGTTCTATGGAGGCAAATCACATGATAATATATGGATATCAAATCTCCATCACTAGACCTCCCCCGAATGTCAAACTAATTAATCATAATCATGACATTTCTCAATTCTCATCAGATATCTCAAGAACATGTATCTTAGGAGATTTAAAACATACACCAATCATATAAGATACTTAATATCGTACCATACAATAGTATTCTCAGATAATCAACGGTATAAACATATCATCCCAAAAGCTCATGCTAACATACAAAACACAATCAAATAAAACAGCAGCTTGGATACTTCACCTTGGTGAACAAATAACCTTTTGCCATAACAGACTACACAGTACATCCTAATTCCACAATTTCATTCAAAAATCACTCATCAGGCTTCTATCCAGTCCTATGGTTATAACAATTGATTCATTTTTCACAAAACAATCCCACCGAGCAACTTTCAAATGTCTAAAGTTTTTTCATTGTTTCAAAACAAGTTTCTTATTCCATATTATTCATAACCTATCCTAAAGGGTTTAATTTAATTAAAAACTCCTCATAGAGGAACCGCTAGGCAAAAACAAGTAAAAATTCACGTTACCTGGTGTCCAACAAGTGCTTACAAGTCAAATATTTAGACCTTGAACTTGGGGTTGTCAAACCTAATATCATATCTACAAACAGAAAATACATGTTACTACAGTATCTTATGGGTAAGCTATGTATTAAATTTGAACCCATAACTCCCTCTTTAAGGTTTCCGAATTGTTACTCAGAATTCTAGCTTGTACAGTTTTTCTAAGATCTGGAGTAAGAACATGGATACTATGCTTTAGATTCAATTCTTAAGTTTCTTTAGCTTATATTATCTTTAAATTTCTAAATCATATCATTATAATTTATTCATAACCCAAGTAGAAAACCCTCAACTTATAGCTTATGTTCTGTTTTTGAAAACTTAGAGAAACATATTTAATACGAGTAAATTATTCTCACTACAGATGTTTAATTATTAATCTAATCGTTGAAATTAACATATCATATGTCTTGAGTCTATTCTCCAAATTTTGGCTCGATCTAACGGCGAACAAATTTAAAAATGATACTTTACCATTCAATGTTCTATCTATAAAATTTGAAAATAAAGAGTTTAATGCATATCTAATAACTCATACCTCATATATTGAATCACTAACCTAACTGTTGAAATTGACGAGTTAGATGTGTCGGACTAGAAGACTGGAAGACCAAATTTCAGCTCGATCTAACGGTTTACAAACTTGCACACGGCACTTTACTGAGATTGTCTCAGTTTTGTGCAAAAATATTTAATTTGTTCTTAGTTCTTCCATACTGCCGTCCATTTATATTTCATATCATTTAGTCGATGTGGGACTTTTTAACCTTTTTTGTTTTATTTATCTATTCATATGTAAATAGCTATATATACATACATACATACGATCATAAATATTTTAATTGCTTATATATATTTAACCACTATTGAAGTGATGTCAATAGATATTTACTTACAGATTTACTCAAGTCCTAGAGATCAAAATTTAGGAAGTTACATAATGGAAAGCAAAGGGAGCAGCTAGGACGCTAGGTTTCAATCCACGAGGAAGGATGATTAGTCTACATGACCCAAAAAAAAACTTAAGGATAGGATAGTAATTAACTATTATCTAAATTGGCAAAAAAAAAACTAAAATTGTAAAATGCAGCTAGGACGCTGGGTTTCAATCCACGCGCACTCACTTGTGCACTAATCAAATGTAAAATGCGGCACTTTTATTGAAAAATATCTATCTAATTAGTCTACTATTCTGGTCATAAATATAAAACCCATTTTGTAGTATAAATTACACTACAAAATGGGTTTTATATTTAAGACCGGAGGAATATCATTTTAATTATAATTAAGCCCTTTTAATGTTATTGACCCGTGGCTCATAAAAGAGGCATGAGACTAAAGTTTATGGGACCTAGAGTTTTGAGCTTCTGGCAACTCTCTTTCCTCCTCTGGTGTTCCACCTGATTGAGTTCTTTTATCTTTCACTGTTCTGCTTATCTTGTTCTTATATAAAGAATCCGTTTAATCCTAAGAAGTATCAATTCTTGTTTTGCCAATAGCTGCAGAATTGCTCACCAGGACAGTGTCCATAGGACGCGATTCGAATTAACCAGTTATTTGTAGATGTTGCCATTAATAGGATTTACACAGTATTATAGAGAAGTTAGAAGATCTATTAGACTTTTGGAGAATTTAGGTGCTGTGACCCATAGGATGAAAATTGAAGGTTAGAAGAAGGAATGTTTGTATTCTATGATTATTGATTCTAAGAGATGTTTGTATAGGTTTTAAAAATACGATCTATGTAATAAAAAAGATAAAAGGGCTCAATATATAAATATATGTTTGAATATAAAGAATTTAACTGTGTACCGAATCCGCAATTTAAGTTCATTGCACATACATGTATTATGAGGCATGTGAAGATAGGAGCGGGCAAGAAACGAAGTTGAAAATTTTTTTTTTTTTGAGAGAATCCCATAAAAATATCTTTAAATTTCAAAATTCCAACCCATCCCAGTCTTGTTTATTACTGCTGTGTTTCAATAACAATTGACAATATTTGAAAAGCAAATAATAATATATTTTTGTAATAATTCCGGATTTAAAATTTTCAAATTTTAAATGTATTTTAATTTCTTGAGATTTTCCCATAGTATTTTGGGAGGCCACATCTAATTCTACTGAACTCTTATATGAAAAGGTAACTCAAGATACAAAAAGTACATCGCTAATATCATAGGTAAAAATTAAAAAAAAAAATCTCTTTTATTACCATAAAAAAATATTTGAATTATTTTTGAATAATTTTTCAGACATTCTCCTTTGAAATTAAAAACACCCCCAAACTTTTACTTTCTCAAATGTTCAAACCATTTGGTTGTAAAAATTGAAAATGAAGGTAAGATTGGTAAAATGATGTGAAAATGAATGTATTAATGTTCCAATTTTACCTCCAAAAGATGGGAAGACTTGTAAGTATCAAAAGACTTGACCATTAAAAAATAGGTGGGTGTCAATTTTATTACGCATTTAAATGTTGGTTTACTTTTTATTTTGAATTAATATATAATTTTTTGTTTTTTAAGTTTGTCCTCATTTTGGTTTTGATCCCTCAAATTTTAAATCATAAGTTCTGGTTCCTCAAGTTTCTTTTTATTTAAAAATTGATCTCTATTATTCAAAAAAAAAAAATTTGAATCATTTGCCTCTTAAAAGACTGAAACTTATAGTTTGAAACTTGAGAAACCAAAATCAGATAATAGAGTTGGAGAACCAAAGATTATATTGAATTTTTTATTTTTAAATAAGTTTTAAGCAATGCGTTATTATCTTTTAAATTTTCGCTCACATATTTGGAAAGTGGAACGCATGTGAATAGGAAAGGAAAGAAAGGAATTAACAATTTCTTTTTATGGAAGTTATACGCAATTTTTATATTTTTTTGTTGTATTAAGTATTATAACAAATTGTACATAAACTTTATTATTTTCAGGCCTTGCTTACTAAAATTTTGTCCAATTTCTTATACATAAAAATCAAACTTCAGAGCTCAAGTATTTATTCAAATTTCACTGATCTGAATTCATTTATTCATTTCTGGATTAAAAAAATAAATAAAATTAATTCACTTTGACTTCAATACTTGAGTGAGGGTGTGCGAATACCCCTCCAATAATTAATAATATAAAATATAAAGTTTATAATAAACTATGTTATTTATAAGTCATAAATAGTGTTGGTTATTCTTTCAGCTCGCCCATATAGGATTTGTTTTGTTTGTAAACATTTTGAAAATAAAAAAATCACTCTGCTGTTGGCCTTTAATATTTTTACAAATTGTCTGTAGATTTTAACTAACACGTACTAACTTAAAAGGATCTAAAAATATAATATATATTATATCTGTGGTATTTTCTTATTTATAATGTTAAAAACAGATGTAGTTAAAAATATCCACTAATTCAGCTTAGTTTCGGAAATTTAAAAAGATAAAAATACAAGGCATGGAACATAATGAAGAGTGACCGGATGCATTTATGACCCGATTTTCTATTGAAAAGACGTGAAGACTCGGAAATATTAGTAGACTGGAGAATAAGATATGTCGCGTGGTTATCAATTTTTTAAGGCATTTAAATTTTTGTTTATTCTAGATTGTCCTATGTAAATGGGTGTATATATAATGTAAAGACTTCATTGAGGCCATTATGCCCAAACTTACCACAATGGCGAGCTTCGCGTCACAGATTTCCTTTGTCTTGTTGTTTCTGTTATTTGCAGTCACATTCAACAGAAACATGGGTATCTCAAACAGGGTGATGCGTTGCCATGAAAATGATCAAAGGCTGCTTTTAATCTTCAAACAAGCAATGATTGATCCATTGAACCAACTCTCTTCTTGGATTGTTGAAGAAGATTGCTGCTTATGGGACGGAGTTCACTGCGACCACATCACTGGAAAAGTCAACCTTTCTCTTTTCAATTACACATTACGAGGTGACATTAATCTGCGTGTGCTTCAACTTGAATTTCTCAACTACTTGGACTTGAGCCTCAATGCGTCTGAAACTGTGAGTATGCCACCATGCCAAGTCTCCAAATCTCTGTTTGATGCTCATAAATTTCACAACCAATTACTTGCTACTCCTTTCAATCAGTCAACAAGTTTCTCTGTTGCTCTGCCTTATCTTGACTTTTCAGAAAATGATGGTTTAGTCATAAATGATCTTCATTGGTTTAGTCATAAATGATGTCAACTTTTTTTCTTAAACTATCTTGACCTTACTGACAATGATATTGGAAGTGGAACCAAATGGCTCCAGCATATAGCAATGCTTCCTTCACTCTCTTTTACGCTTCAGTTATTATGGATTAAGAGATTTTTCTTCCTTTGATTATCTCAATTTTACGTCACTTGAAGTTCTTGATCTTTCTAACAACCTTATGAAGTCAAAATTGCCTTATTCATTTTTTAATATCACCAATCACATCTATCATCTTGACCGTCTTGCTTTCAATTTCTATGGCCAGTTACCAAAGTCCATGGTCAATCTTCAGAACCTCAAGCATTTAGATTTGCATTATAATAATGACACAAGATCAATTTCAAATTGGTTAGGCCAATATGAACAGTTGCAATACATGGATATATCTAATAATTTGTTCTATAGCGTAATTCCATCATCTCTTGGAAAGATTTCTTCCTTATTCTATTTAAACTTGTCCCTCAATCAATTCAGTGGCAATCTTCCAGAAACATTTGGACATCTCCTTAATTTAAGTCATTTATACATAAGAGACAATCCATGGAGAGGTGTTCTTACTAAAAAGCATTTTGCCAATCTCTCAAATTTAACATCATTGGACTTAAGTTCAACAAGTTTCATATTTGACTCTGATCCTAAATGGGTCCCACCATTTCAACTTGAGCCATTGTATTTGAGTAACGTGAGTGTAGGTCCTAATGTTCCACCATGGCTATAGACACAATGGTCTTCAAGAAATCTAGATATTTCTAAATCAGGGATTTTAAAAATTGATGCAGATATATTTTGGAGCTTTATAGTAGGAATAGATTATGTTGATCTCTCAAACAACTTGATTAGTGATGACATATCCAACGTCACACTATTAGCAAATATCTTTTCCTTGGATGCATCTCACAATTCTTTGTCAAGATTTATTTTCTCACTTTTGTACCAACTAGAGAGTAACAGGGAAAGCAAGTGGGTTGACTTGGACTTGTCATATAATCGTTTGAGTGGACTGTGGAGCACTTCCTGATTGTTGGGCCAATTGGAAACAATTAGAATACCTTAATTTGAGGAGTAATAAGCAAACGGGTAGAGTTCCTCCCTCATTTGCTAATTCATTAGTGAGTTTTTCGCAGTTGGATTTGAGCTATAATAGTTTCTTTGGCAAATTTTCATTGGACTTGTCAAACTGGACAAATTTGGAATACCTCAATTTAGTGGGAAATAAATTTTCTGGAGCTTTGCCAAATACCATGCAAAAAGGGTTATATGTTATCACATTGAGGGTAAACCAATTTATAGGCAATATTCCATCATAGTTTTGTAACCTTACTCGGTTGACAATATTGGATCTTGCTGATAATAATCTTTCAGGAGCTATACCACATTGCCTATATAAAATCATGCTGCCGATTACGGCATATAATCCTATAGATGATATAAAAGTCTTTGCTAAAGGAAAAGAATTGGATTACGAGCACTTTACACTGGTGCATAGCACCGATCCTTCCACTAACAATTTATATGGAGAAATTCTCAAGGAATTGTTTAACTCAGCTCAGCTGTGATCCTTAAAATTGTCTCGAAACCATTTGATTGGGAAGATTCCCAAAGAAATTGGTGGCGTGAAAGGATTATAATCCCTTGATCTCAACTACAATAAGTTTTCTGAAGAAATTCCTTTAACTATCTCTAATTTGTCTTTTCTTGATTATTTGAACCTATCATACAACAATTTCACTGGACAAATCCCATTGGGAACCCAAATTCAGAGTTTCGATCCATGGAGTTTTGTTGGCAATCATGAACTTTGTGGAGACCCTCTTCCAAAGAAGTGCTGCAAGAAAGAAGCTTCCAATCACTCAAAGCTAGTGTTATGAGTCCCACATGGGGAATCTCACAAGTGTTGTGGGGTTTATAAGTTCAAGGGGCTCTCCTCCCAATAGGCTAGTCTTTTGGGATTGGGCTCTCTCCTTGGGCTTATGCTCATCACATTAGTGCTTTCATTGAGAGTTAGCTAACCGGAAAGGGCTACCTGCGGAGGGTTCTGACCGGTAAGAAGACCGAGTAAAGTGCCGTAGAGTGGAGTCACCGGGACGTTGGCTCTCGAGAAGGGTGCTCTGTTATGAGTCCCACATTGGGGAATCTCACAAGTATTGTGGGATTTATAAGTTCAAAGGGCTCTCCCTCCCAATAGGCTAGTTTTTTGGGATTGGGCTCTCCCCTTGAGCTTATGCTCATCACAGCTAGCTGAAGGAAATGAAGATGATGACTTCCTAAAGTCATTGTATCTAGGGATGGGAGTAGGATTTGCAGCAGGTTTCTGGGGGGTTCTCTCTTCCTCATTAGAGCATGGAGACACAAACTTTTTCAACTGTTTCATCTTCTGGCGGATCAACTTTATGTTATCGTGGCCCTCAAGTTGAAAAAAGCTTCCAATGAATGTTAAAATTATAGAGATTGCTGTTGAGGTAATTAACCGATCTGAGATCATATTCTTTTTTTAATAAGGTTTTATTTTCCTTTTCGCCTTGTTCTTGCCACAAACAAATTCAGTTCTTATCTGCTACGTACTACATTCCAATGACTTCCTCTTAAATTCTTTCAAATCTCATATTTTGTTTCAGGGAATAGAGAGGTTTGCTGCAGCCATACATGGTCCGAGGTCTCTAATGTTTCCCACAGATTGTCATATCTCTACTTTGTAGTAAAATAGTTATCAGAGTATCTGTGTGTGTTGTCATGTCTCAGAAAAGCCTTTTGTTGAGTGGTTTTCCAAGTCTTGTATTGTTGTGCTTTAAGACTTTGATTATTTTCTATTTCAACAATGAAAGATTCAAGTACGCTTTTGGAATTGATAATAAATTTTCTTTTTCGATGTTGAAGATGCCAAAAATTGAAACTTGCAACACACTGAATCGCCATAGAGCAGCTGGCTAAGAGGATCTGTTTCCACACTTGAGATGCTCTGTTTCATTGTGTTTGAAATAACAGAGTCATGCCTTGGTTCGGTTACGTAATCAAATAATCTCTTCACTACTAAACATCATAAACATTAAATAACAGAGTTGGCTTGAATCATCAGATGCACAACAACACGCGAGTATGTTTCTAAACTACACTCACAATGAATTATTGAGGCGCAATGACTTGCTTCTTCAATTATTATTTACATTCTTACTTAACAACGGGCAACTGTAATTCCCGTGCAGTTAAAATTGTAACAGTCAAGAATTAAGGATGTGGGTTTGTAAATGAACATCGGTGAGATGGGCAAAAAAGAAGATACATATATTACCTCCAATTCTAATTATAAGATTCAATTTATAGTGCAATTTGGACCACAAAATGAATCTTATAATTAGAACTTAAGGAAGTACTCCTCCGATCCTTGATATAAAACCCATTTAACTAATTTGATTATATTAGAGAAGTTAGGTAAGTTAGTTAATTATAAGAAATGTGACATGTTTTTCCTCAAACACCATAATCATCTTTCTCAATATCTCTTTTTTCTCTTCTACTTGATTATGGTTAAGAGAGTATCCATAGGGATAATTTAAAAAAAAACTGATAAATATGAGAAATGGGTCTTATATTTAGGACCAAAACTAACTTAACAATTGGGTTCTATATTAAGGACTAGAGGAGTAATTAAGAAGCTCCTCTCTGTGAGTTCCATCAGTTAATGAGCACATATTATGATTGGATTTGATTTGGTATGAGGAGGGAATTCATTTATGTAATATCAAAATTACATGATTTAGAGGTTCTTTAGCTTTTTTCCCCTTAATAATTAGATCAATTATATATACATATAGAATGAGGGAAATTATACCAATAAAAATTTGGTCTAGTGATGTAAAGTCTTGCTAGATCTCTTTGGGTCTTGAGTTTAAGTCCTAGAGTAGACGAATTATTAATTACTAATGGTAATGAATGAAACATCATAAGGTTTGGTTGTTGCATATTCCACCGTAATTAGTTAAATTGGTTATTTGTCGTAAATATATATTGGTCTTCCTAAACTATCCTCTTCAATAATATATATTAGATTATTGAAATTATCACTTGGTAGAAACTCTTTACAATCAATAAGGATATCTTGGGAAAAGATGCAAGATAAAATAAATTGAGATATGACCAAATCTAATTTTCTGACTAGCTCTTATATTAAAGATGAGTGTAGTATTTGGACACCCCACAGAGAGGAAGTTATCAAATATTATCCCACTAAGATGATATATTAAATTATTTTCCATCACTTTCCTTCATTTTTAACTTTTCTTAAGAGTCTTAAGTTCCCATTGCTTTTGATTAATCACTTTTCTCAATAAATTTAGATACACTAACGCTGTAAAACTTTGGAAACAAAGACATATTGATCAACTTTAAGGACCTTCCCAGCAATTTTTAACAATAATTTAGCTTTCGAATGACTTTTTCTCAAGAGAACAAAGCTGCCATTGCTTTTCAATAACCGCGTAAACAGGTTAGAAGATAAAGACATAAAGAGAGAAGGAAAGTAAATTACATGCCGATGGAAAACATTTGATGACTTCCACTTAGTGCTAAGCCCAAATATTAAGCATTAATAATATTAACACCATGTGATAAGAGGGGCCACAACATATATATGAGACACTAGATGACGTGGCTTAATATTTTGATGACATGTCATCACATGGCCCATTGTTTATATATATATATATATATATATATTGATGAAAGTGATTAATGGAAAGCAATGGGAACTCAAGACTCTTGAGAAAAGTTAGTTCAATTATTTTATTATTTCTGCGTTTAGGTGTAGGATTTTGCTATTAAAGATATTGTTTGCGTTTAATGTTTGGTCGTAGCACAAAACGGAAGTCATCGTATACTATCCCACTAAGATAATGAATTAATTTTTTTTTTCTATCAGCGTGTAATTTACTTTCCTTCTCTTTTTCCCCAATGAATTGTTTATTTAGAAAATTAAAACGAATCACCTATAG